GGACATCACTGTATGCCTACTGCCGTTCCCTCTTTAACAAATGCCTYTAATGTGCTTAGCCATTTTCCTTGGGGATGCCCGTCTTTTCCCTGTGGGTCAGTACCAGCTCTTTGTATATTATAGACACTATTACCCCATTCGTTTGAGACATTTTTAATTAATGTTTTTCCCAGTCTGTTATCTGCTTGAGAAGTTTTCTCATGATGTTTTTCCATTGAATAATTGATTCCTCATTTTTGCCTTATAGTTTGTGCTTTTAATTTTTTTCCTAGATCCCAATTTTTTATTTTTATTTTTTGATTGACATGTAATAGTTGTATACATTTATGAAGTACAATGTGATGTTTTGATTCATGTATATATCGGGTAGTGATTTAAAGCTTTGTATAGAAGTCCTTCCTCACCTCTAGATCACCCAAATATTCATCTGCAGTATTTTTTTTCTATTAACTTAAKCATTTCACTTTTCATGTATATGCAACTGGAATCCATCCAGACTTCGTCTTTGATGTGGGTTGGAATCTACCTTTTTGTTCATTTTTTTTTTCATTTTTAAATAGATTTTGCCAGTTATTTCAAGGATGTTTTCCAAATAATGGGCCCTTTGCTCCATTGGTTTGTGTCACCTCCTTATTTTAAGTATGTTCCCTTTATATAGGCAGATCTGTCTGGAATTCTTTAGCCATTTATCAGTTCTGATCCAAGCACTGTGCTGCTATTAATAGTATCACTGTATTTTGCAGGATAGAGCCTGYTCTCCATTTTTGCATTCTCATGGTAGACTTAAGCAAGTCCTGTATCTTTATGTTTCCGTATAATTTTAGAGAAAATTTATCAAGTTCTTTTTAAAAATTAAACTAAAGTTGAGTTTGGAGTCACACTTATGGGCTTTTTTAATTTGGGAGAAATTGAAATCTTTGTAATATTATTGTCTCACTCAAGATCATGTGTTATTTCTCTTCACTCCGATCACCCACATCATTTATTAGCAATCAAAGATTGTTCCCCAAAGAGACCTTGGTTAAATTAATTCTCTATAGAAAGTTTAAAGGTTTTATTTCTGAAATGAATAGAATCTTTTTTTTTTTTTTTTTTTTTTTTTTTACCAGGGATTGAACCCAAGGGTGCTTAACCACTGAGCTACATCCCCAGCGCGCCCCCCCCCCCGCCTTTTTTTAAATTTTGAGATAGGGTCTCACTAAGTAGCTTAGGGCCTCATTAAATTGCTGAGGCTGGCTTTTAACCTGTGATGCTCCTGCCTTGGCCTTCCAAACAGCTGGGATTATGGTATGCATCACGGCACCAGCTAGTATCTTATTTTGATTAGATTTCTCTAAGATTTTTTTTTTTTCTTAGAATTACTTTTGATTTGGGTCAGTTGGTCTTACGTCTGGCAGCCTCTTTCATGAAATCTAATAGTTTATTGATTCTCCCTATTTCTAGGTTAGACGATTTCATCATCTATCTGCATATTTGACAGTTTTGACACTTCTCTAATCTCTTTCCTCTTACCTATCCTCCTTTCCTGGGAGCAGTGGCCAGGACCTCTAATACTATACTAAACATTAGTGGCATCTATAAAAATCCTTTATTTGCATTTATACTTTCTCTACTCAGTAACATTTATTATAGTCATAAAATACAATGACCAAGTTTTATCTTYCTATTTCTATTAAGAGTTTTCCTCAAGAATATGTTGAACCTTTTCAGCCTGGCACAGTGACACACACCTGTAATCCCAGCGGCTCGGAGGCTGAGGCAGGAGGATTGCAGGTTCAAAGCCAGCCTCAGCAAAGGCAAGGTGCTAAGCAACTCAGTGAGACCCTATCTCTAAATAAAATGTAAAATAAGGCTGGGGATGTGGTTCAGTGTTTGAGTTCCCCTAAGTTCAGTCCCCAGTACCCGCCTCCAAAAAAAGAATATGTTAAACCTTTCCTAAGGCCTTTTCAACATTAGTTGATCTTTTCCCTAGAGTTTACTAATTTGGTTCATCTACATTGATAGATTTTCTAAAGTTGAACAATCCTTTCAGTCCTGGAATAAACCCCACCTGATCATAATCTACATATTCTTTTTCATTACATTATTGAATTCACTTAGCAATGATTATCTTGATTTTGATTTTATGTTCWCGGTGAACCGATAGTTTGATTTCTTCTATTTCCTGTAACCAGTTTTAATATTAAGATGACACTAGCATCTTCAAATGTTCTGAGCAGGCTTGGCTTCTTTTCTATTTTCTGCAACATCCTGTATAAAATATAAATCAAGTGTTTCTTAAAAGTCTGGTGATATCTACGAAATCATCTCAAATTTTCTTTGAAGACTATTTATCTAACGTTTCAGATTTTTTTCATATGCGCTGATCTACTCAAATCTACTTTTTATTGTGTTACCCTTAGACTATTATAAATTAGAAATCTGTCTGCTCCTAGGATTTCAAACAAGAATTTATTCATTAAAATATCTTTGTAGGGGCTGGGGATGTGGCTCAAGTGGTAGCGCGCTCGCCTGGCATGCGTGTGGCCCAGGTTCGATCCTCAGCACCACATACCAACAAAGATGTTGTGTCCGCCGAGAACTAAAAAATAAAATATTAAAAATTCTCTTTCTCTCTCCTCTCTCACTCTCTCTTTAAAAAAAAATATCTTTGTAGACTGTGTAGTTATTTTCTTTTTTCTTCTCTTTGTTGTTTATTTTTATTTTTTATCATATGCAGAAATGTTGTATGTATATATAGTAATATATAGTAATAAGTATATCCTATATATCTTTGTATCATAATATTTTACCTTAAATTCTATTTTCATTAATATTAATATTATAATTAATATTAAGATTACCACAATATTTTATTTCATGTAAGCCAACTTTTTAAAAGCTTTTAGAATCTTTTCTTTTGTAAGTATATGTCTTACAGATAATATATTGGTGGGATTTTTTTTTTAATTTAAGAGCCTGACAGTCTGTGTCCTTATTTTGTAAGTTTAGCCCACTTACATTTATATTAGAACATATTTCTGCCTTCTTATTTCATTGTTTTTCCATTTAGTGTGATTTTTTTTAAGTTGATTTTCTACTTTCCTTTGGATGGAGTGTCATTTTGCTGGTTTGAAGGGTCAACATTCTCCGATTGCAACCTTGAACTTGTGACTATCTCTACATTTTGCCTCTTCTGAGACAAGTAGGTAACGTCCCCCGGGGCCTCCTGGTCTCCCTGCCTCACCCCATGTCAACCTTGTCAGGAATAGTATTTTTAGTTGTCACGGATGTAGTTTCCCTTCCTCTTTATTTTGGTTCTCGTTGCCTTCTTTAAGAGCGAGAGGCAGGGAGGGAAGGAAGGAACTTTACCAACGTGCTTGGTCACACTTCCTCACCTCTTGCGGCTTCTCTGGATTTGGGTTCTTGTCTAAATTTTAGAGTACTTCCTCCGAGAGCGTTTTCAGTGGGGATCTTTGTGTGTGGCAAACCTTCKCGGATGGTGGAAGTCCCGAAGTTTCTGACTTCACACTGGAATGACGGTTGGGCTGGATGCAAAATCCTAAATCCAATGTTCTTTCTTCGATATTTAAAAAACATTACTCAATGGTCTTCTTACATCCAGTTTTCCTCTTAGGAAGTCTGGTGTGAATCTAATACTTGTTCCTTTGTCGGTGATCAGAATTTTCTGGTTTTGATGCTCTCCCATTTCACATAATGCATCTAGAGGTGTGGGTCTGTCTGTGAGCATGTCTCCTACTTTCAACCTCAGATCTCTCTTTTTTCTATGATTCTGAGAAATTTAYATTCATTCTTTCTTCAAATATTTMTCCCTTTCCATCTTGTCTTACTCACAGATCTACTTTTTATTGTGTTACTCTTAGACACTACTCACAGTGCTTAATGCCTACATGTTAGTACGTCTATTTTTCTCCTTCATGTCTCTTAACTTCTCTTTGATTGTTTTTTTTTAATCTTCCCATCCTTTCCAAAAGCTTCCTGTGAAAATTCCTCAACTTTTCTCCAACTCCAACTCAACCCCAACTCTAACTCACTCTCCAGAATAGTATTGCCATTTAGCTTTTTTTGATGGCTCTTGTTCTTGATTTGCAGTTTATGTCTTCTCCTACCCCTTGAGGTGGATTGATCATATTTACTGAGAGTCGTTGAATTGTTGGTTCCTGCAGTTGTGCTTTGGATGGGTTTTATTGTTGGGTGTGTTAGCCCTCTTGTAAAGTTGAAATTCTAAACTGACAAATTATTTGGGCTTGTGAATTCAGATTCTTTGGGGGTTCTCAGATATTCAGCCTTGCAGAGAAATGAAAGCTAAATCCTTTAGCTTGGTAAGTTTCAAAAGTGCGAGGGCTAAGCCCCAGAACACAGGGCCTCGGGCACCCCCGTTTGCTGCTATTCTTGCCCTCTGGTTAGGGTTTCACCTTTGAACTCGCTAGGCAATGCATCTTAATTCATCATCCTTCCGTCTTGGAGTTTGGAGGAGGAGGGGAGGGCTAGGGAGTCAGTGTTTACAGGTGATTGATTATTTCCATCAATCTCTTATGCTTTCGCTGTGCCTCAAGGTCCCCCAGGGCACCTGAGACCTAGGCTGTGACAGCCTATATCTCAGTGAAGGGACACCCATGGCAAGGGTCAAGAGCAGAATTTTAAAATGATCTTTTCACCTTTTGCTAGCTGATATGTCTAGCCACCACTGCCCCCAGGATGTAGCCACTGTCCATATCCACCATCGACACACACACCAACACAGCCTCCAGTTCCTGCTTTGAGGGGTTCATTTTATCTCGTTCCAGAAATCCATGTTTAACTGTCATTTCTGCAGTTTCCCCAAAGTTAATGACCTGCCGCCTTCTCTCCATTCCTCTCTACCAACGGTGCATCTGGGTCTTGGGAACTCCTCTGCAGGAGGAGAATTCTTGGGTCTCCTCTCCCTGGTTCCAAAGACACAAGAGCTCTCTCCCTGGTCATCTTTTCCCAGGACTTTCCCTCCCAGCGAGACCCTGGACTTACCCCTGCTCAGAGCCGTTGACGRAAGGGCTGGGGGTTCCCTCCGGAGAAGTGATCAGAGCTAAAGAGGACACAAAGAAGATGGTGTCTTCTCAGAGGACCAGAATTGTGGGTGAGATGAGATCCTAAGAACCGTCAGAGGACRCAGAGAAGGGACAGAACCAGCTTCTCAGGGTCCCTCAGGGCAGGAGTAACTGGGCCTGAGATCTTTTTTTTTTTAATTGACATTTAAAAACATACAAATTTATGGAGTGCCTCGTGATGTTTCAATACATGTGTACAGTGTATAATGTTCAAAATCAAAGTCTACTCCTCAGACRCTTATCATTTCTTTATAGTGAAAACATTCAAAATCCTTTCYTYTAGCTTTGTTTTAAAACAGTGCATTATCATTGTCTACTGTCACCCTATTGTGTAATAGAACACCAAAACTTGGTTCTCCTAACGATAACTTAATATCCATTAGTCAGAGTTCTCCCACCCTCCTTCCCCATAGTCTCTCCGGCCTCTGGGAACCACCTCTCTCTCAACTTCCATCAGATGAACTTTTTAATAATCTACATATGAATGAGATCATATAGTACTTGTCTCCCTCTGCCTGATTATTTCACTTAAAATAATAGCCTCCAGTTACATCTACATTGCAAATGACAGGATTTTGTCCTTTTCATGGCCAAATAGTATTTCATTATGTATATGTACCACATTGTCTTTATCCAATCATCAGTTAATAGACCCTTAGTTTGTTTCCATTTCTTAGCTATTTTGAATAGTGCTACAGTAAACATGGGAGTTCAGATGTTTCTTTGAAAGACTGATTTAATTTCCTTTGCATATGTAGCAAGTAGTGGGATTGCTGGACTGTATGGAAGTTCTATTTTTTAATTTATTTTTTAGTTTTAGGTGGATACAATATCTTTATTTTATTTTTATGTGGTGCTGAYTATTGAACCCAGTGCCTCCCAGGGGCTAGGCAAGCACTCTACCACTTGAATTTCCCCTGAGTATTTTTTTCTTTTTTTCTTTTTGGCCATTTATGTCTTCCATGAGGGAGGAAAAATGTCTATGTGAACAGATCCTAAAATCTTTAAAACCACTGAAGTCAAATCCAAAGGGGAAGAGTCTCTGCACAGGCTAGTGGGAAGTGAGGGGCGGGGCTGGGACACACAGGTGCAGGTCTCCCAGTGCGAGACTCCCTCCAGGGGCACCCAATCTGTCATGGAAGAACACGGCTATTTCCATGAGTGGGTCAGCTAGTGCGTGTTGATATCCCTGTGTCTTAATCCCTGAATCCACCAGCCCAGACCCCCCGGAGGGTGGAGCACCTGCCTGGTCCCTCCTTCCCTGAATTGGAGGCTCTCTAAGTTGCCTGGTCATCCCTCTTCCTTCCCCTGGCTGAGACCCCACACCTACCTGTCATTGCAGAGGAGACGGAGGCTATAAAGAAAAGGTAGAGGTCAGCGTGGGAGCCCAGAAGGGAAATGAGTTCTGGCCCCAAGCTGTTGAGGGGAACGAGGGGCCCAGAGATGGTTCTTTGGGACCCCTTAGGCCAGCAGTGACCTGCACTCAGGTCTGCCCACCCCAGCTGTTGATGTGCCTGTGTAGGAGAGTCAGAAAGACACCCCAGGCTCCTGTCGCTCAAGCCCTGGACGTGCCTTCCCCCAGCTGGGTCCAGGACTGGCAGGGAGACCAGAGATGCAAACCCAGCTCTGGGGACAGGGCTCCTTGCTCCCCCAGAGCAGAGCAGAAGGCCTGTCAGGAATGGGGGTGACAGAGGCATGGGACAGGGGTTAGAAACCTTCCCCCCAGGTCCCTGGGGGAGGGGGCGTTTCCTGGAGAAAAGGGCTCACCTGGAGACACCACCAGGGTGATGTTCCTGAAGGTGTCGATCAGGTTCTGGGACGAGTTGAAGCTTCCGCACAAGTAGACGCCCCAGTCTTCTTCCCTCAACTGAGTCATGGTGACGATGAAGAAGCCAGCCTCGGGGTGGTCCCAGATTGTGTGCTGAGCCTTCTCAACTGCTGTCAGAGGCTGGGAGGTGGTGACCAGCCTGGTGCACCTGCCAGGAGACCTCTGCCGACACCAGGTCTTCTGCACGTAGGTCCCTTCCTGGGGCGAGGACGGGCACTGCACCACCAGGGTCCCTCCCACCACTTCACGGAGCTCCTCAGGTGCGACCTTCAGTCCCCAGGAGCCTAGAGGAGGAGACCTCCGTCAGATCCCTGGCCAGACCCCACCACTCATGCCGAGGCCCGGGAAAGGGGAGAGGATAGGACATCTGCACTCAGAGCATGTCCCCAGAGCCAGTCCTGTGGTCACAGAGCCAGCCCGCTACCAGCCCCACCCTTGTCCTTTGCTCACCACCTCCCACCTCACCTGGGACCAGCAGCACCAGGGCCACAGGGTGCATGAGCAGGCGCAGACCTTCCCACGCCATGCCACCCACCCTGTCCCGGTTGGTGGAGGAGAAGAGAATCGGGAGGCCTCTGTGGAGAGGGAGTCAGAAGTTAAAGCTGACCCTGCTCAGCATCTCTGGGCTGGACACACTGAAAGGTCAGTGCCTTGATTGGGGAAGTTATTGGCCTGGGAAGGCGGGTTCTGTGGGCACAGGGGCCTAGCCTGGATKGGGGGCCACCAACGGCAGAGTCTGTCTCTGGGCCTCCATACCTCAGTCCTGCCCCTGAGGATCCGCCCTCTTGTGACCCAACTTCTTGTGCCTGCTGGCTCCACACCCTCCACTCCCTCTCGCCCCTGCRCTCTGGCTGGAAGGAGGTCTGAGAAGGCTGAGAAAACCGTGAATGAAGAGGCACTTCCTCTTGTCTCTCTCTCTGTGCTCCCTATAACTGGTCAGGGCCCTTGGAGCCATGCCCATAGTCCTGGTCATGTCCCCAGAGCAWTATGGTGACCTCATCCCAGGCACAGTGGGGTAATGGTGTGTTTTCACGGTTAGTTTTGGGAGGTACAGACTTCCATTCCAGGAGGTGTAAGTATGGTCCCTGGAAAGTGGGGAGGCAGGGAGCTGGGAGGAAAGGGACACCGAGAAAGGATCATCAGACAAGGGCCTGGGTCCCTTGCAGGAAGAGAGCAGGCAGGAGGCTCAGGACCATCTCAATCAGTGGTCTGGTAACTACCTGAGTGGCCAGGAGGCTGAGGCAGGAGGATGGCAAATTCAAAGGCAGCCTCAGCAACTTAGTGAAGCCCTAAGCAACTCAGTGAGACCCTGTCTCTCAATAAAATATATAAAAGGGCTGGGAAAGTCGCTCAGTGGTTAAGGGCCCCTGGGCTCATTCCCCAGTACCAAAATAAATAAATAAATGCCTGAAGGAAAAAATGAAGCCCAACTGGGAACTATGGAGCCACAGGAGGAAGTAATATTGGATTAGAGTCCAGAGTATAAAGTGGATGACCCTGCGTCCAGACTGGTGTCAACAAGAGCTCCACGATGGTCTGAATGTAGTTCCCCCCAAATTCATGTGGAATGCTAATCCCGCATGGATTAGCTGCTCCTGGTGAAGGGTCCTCAGGGCCCCTCTCCAGCCTCTTCCCTCATGCTGTGGAGGCTGAGCTTAGAGCAGGGCAGTGATCTTACAGCTCAGCTGGATCTTYGAACCTCGTCTTTGAACCCACACCAGCATTTTGCCCTCTACCAAGCAGCCCCCTTCCACCCCAAATATGGTACCTCAAAATATGCCCTTTTGACACACGGGATTCCTGGTAACTGAAGGCAATTAAAAATCTACAGCTGCAGGAATTGTTCTCGGCCCTCCCTTTAGCTGCCTAGGAGCAGGGCATCAAATCYCCTTTGTCAAGGTGTCCCCTTGTTTTCGAGGAAAGATTTATCTTGGCTCTTGATTTCAGAGGTTCATGGTCAATGGCGCCATCTCTTTGGTTCTGAAGGGGGGGGCGGAGCCTCATGGGGGTAGGGCATGGGGGAGGGGGAGCTGATCGGCTCCTGGCCTCTGGGAAGCAGAGTGAGAGGAGGGGTCCAGGGGCACACCTCCAAGGACATACTTCCTCTTARGGCCCACCTCCTACAGCTCCCAATTAATGCCCTCAAATTATTAATCCACAGAGGAAGGAAATCAGAGCCCCCATGATCCAATCACTTCCCCCAACCCCACCCCTGAACATAGCTGCGTTGGGACCAGGCCTTCAACATGTGAATCTATGGGGAACAATCCAGATCCTCATAACACCCCCCTTACCAGAGAGAGAGGACACTCACCCCTGGAGAGAGCATTGACCCAGATAAGTTTKCATAAAGAGAACTTAACACAATAGCTCTTCCCCTTCCATAGCTTTCCCAATCACTTCCAAAGACTCAAAGCCCAAACCCCCTTCCACTGTGAAGATAGCATGTAAGCTGGTACGGTGGCTCACTCCTGTAGTCCCAGGCTAAGGCAGGAGGATTACAATTTGAGGCCAGCCTCAGCAATTTCATATAACAAATAAATAAATAAAAAGGACTGGGGATGTAGATCCATGCCAAAGTCCTCGGGGTTCAATCCCCAGTATCATAAATAAATAAATAAATAAATAAATAAATAAATAAATAAATAAACCATATATAAGTCCCTGAGTCTGCTTTTCTTTCTTTTTTTTTTGAGTTCTACTTCTTTCTTGTGAAATCCCATGCACATAAAATATGAATAAAATTGTTATCCTTTTCTCCTATTGATTTGTCTGTTGCTACTTTAATTCACAGACCCTCGGGCACCAACCTAAGAGGTAGAGAAACTTTCTCCACCCTGATGCTCCCCATCATTCATCCAAATGGACTGCATCAGGCTCAGGGATAAAGCAGGAGAGACTCAGGGAAAGAGAAAAAGAACTTGAGGCACCAAAATAATAATAATAATAATAATAAGCCCTTTCTTTTGAGAAAGAAAACTTAAAAATTTTTTTAAAAAAGTGTTTTTCCCTTTAAGAGGACAATCTGCTTTAATTACGAGGAAACTGTAATATAAGCAAAGTGTGGACGTATATAAGTTTATAATATAAACTCGGGTGTGAAAGTAAGTTGTATAAYGAAAGYTTTAATCATTTACAAGCTAAATTTACAAGGAACTGAAAGCRTTGTTAGCTGACCAGTTATGTTGAGCAGAAGTCTATAAAATCAGCGGGTGACATTGYTCCCCGAGGTGACSAGAMTGTCCTCTAGCTCCCTGTCCAAGCAGCAGCCACAGGCAGTGTCAGGGCTGACATGGGGTGAGGGTGAACACAGAGCTGGATTTTGATCTTCTGTTGATTTTCATGAAATGCAAAAGCCCTGTGGTCAGTGGCTGTCACTTTGAACAGCACTGGGCCAGGTGACAGAGATGACTCAGACCACGCCCTGCCCACCCCATCCCACCCCCTATAAGGGACCTACCTCTTTGCTGTGTCGTGTTTGTGAATGTCAAAACCCTGAAGTTATTGGACGGTGTGTGAGAATATCTTCAGACACTGTCTAAAAGACAGAATCCAAATACCATTGTGCTTCAGATGGGGGAAGAACACCTTCAATAAGATCCCAACAATATCAATCAAAAAGGGAAAATGAATGGATTTAATTATATTGTCGAATGCAGGCTTTCCAGAGAACGTAGCCCCAGCAGAGCTGTCACGGAGGTGACACTTCAGGGCGTCCCAGAGGGAGACTGCATGGCCAGGAGTTATTGAGGAGTCTGGTTGGAGGYAGGCCCTTCAAAGGCGGGACTGGATTCAGCCTGGGTAAGGATCGTGATCCCACYGTCCTATCTCAGAGTGCAGTGCCAGATTTTTGAAGCAAGAGATTTAAAGAATCTTGGGCGGCCAACTCTCTCTGGGTGGGTCTTCCAGGAGCTTCCCGTAATGGACAATCAAACCATTTCCCTGGATAAGAAAACTCCCAGGAAAAAAAAAAGTGATCAGAATAGCAAAGCTGAGTTACAGACGGCAAGGGGGTGGCTTGGGTGCTCAGAGCCCAGACAGAACAGGGGCACAGATGGCTTCAATTTGAAAAACAAAAATGTGTTTTTCCAACATGGTCATTGTGGATGAACAGTCAGGGGAATGACTCCACAAGGACACCCTGGCGACCCTGCCTGGGAACACATGGGCCACACCAGCCAAGRCCTGAACAGCAGCTTCTCTGAGGCATGGCATGTGGCCCTGTGCTCCTCCTGGAACATAAGAGACCTGGAGTCCTGGGAGGCCATCTCCCAGTCACCTCCTGTCTCCCCTGAAGTYAGTTGTCACCTCCTGGTTCTAAAGAGCAGGAGGCTTTTCCTGCCCCTCAGAAGAGAGCCRCGGGGGTAAGACCCCACAGCACAGCAGTAGGGTCTTCTGTGGTTTGGGGGATGGGACCAGGACCACGAGTAGCTGGCAGCGGCGGCTAATCTTCCTTTCATGGTCTATTAAGTCATAAACTGARTCTGACAGTGGCTCATGGTACCTTYGCTGACCAAATCAGTCCAGCCRTGGCCACAGCCTTCTCTGCTCTTGGGTGTGCTGAAAGAACAGGTTGGCAGTCTCAGACCTGACCCTTGTACTGAACCAGGGGTTCTTACAAAAACAGAACAGCCGAAGAAAGGAAATCCAATTTAAATGGTCAAAAATAGATGATACGCTTCTGGAAACATCCAAATGCTTCCAAAGCCCCATCTCATTAATTATGAGACAAATGCTCGTTTTAAGGCCTGGAGAGGTCACTTTGAACACATCAGCTCAGCAGAACTAGCAGGTTGGACAACACTCACTATGGCCAGAGCGTACGCAGGGGAACCCTGGAGCCCTGCTACAGGAATGTAAGGAGCCTGGCTTCTGCAGAATAATCTGGAATTTCTGGGTGGAATAAGCAAGTGGACATCCCACACCCGGGTCTCACTCCCAGAAGTCTGCCTGGTTACTGTGCTTTGTGTCCGGTTAATGATATATTTGCTGCCTCGGATGAGCTGCTGTTCAGGTCCTGGCTGGCGTGGCCCATGTGTTCTAAGATCATGTTTTGTATATTTCCTTCCTAAAAGCCATATTGAATTTGCCTTTTATCTTGGAGTCTGATTTCAATCAAGAGAAGAGAAAGCCTTCCCCCTCGCCCCGTGTGGATATCCAGTCGACCAGTCAGTCTTCAATTTGAGGTCAGCACCATCTTTCCCRCTAAATCAAAGAGACACCTGGGTGGCAGTCGAGTGGCCATACAGCTGTGGGTATTTCCCTGAACCCTCTATTCTGTTCCCTTGGTCTGTCTTGCTTTATGCCAACTGGGCATGTATTCTAGAAAAATTCTCATGTGGGCCTTTCAGCCATGTAGTGTATACGGGGTGGGGGGGGCAGAAGTAAATATTTTTAGTTGTTGATGGACACAATACTTTTTATTTATTTTTCTGTGGTGCTGAGGAYCGAACCCAGCGCCTCACACATGCTAGGTGAGCGCTGTACCACTGAGTCACAAYCCCAGCCCAAATATATTTTAAGGTT